ATCAACAGCTATAAAGTACGTACAACAGGACTGACACAGTAAGTGCCCAAGTGCCAGTTATCAATATCATTGTTGTCATCACAGCAGCTGCAGCAGAGGCTGCTACAGGCCCATTTGCGGTTTGTCCACGTGTCCTTTTATTTTCTCATTCACCGCAGTGGCCTGAGACCCTTGACACACAGAGATGGTTGGACCCTGGGCCCTGCCTCAGAGCTCGCTTTCTAACTGGGGAGACAGGACTGCCACTGCCATGTGACCTTGTGTTATAGGCACTGGGTTGTGATATGTGCGGGTGACAGCGGGCACCATGGAGTGAGGGCTTCATTCTCTGTGATGCGCAGGAAAGGCCTGAGAGAGGGAATGGTGTGAAGCGGAGCTGAGAGAGAGGAGCACGAAGGAGAGGGGGGAAGCGCTTTCCAGGCAGAGGGTCTCCAAGAGCAGGGGCATGGGGTTTGAAAGATGGTGGCGTGGCGTGTTTGAGAGGCTGTAGGCCGCGTGGGATGGGTGGGATGAGTGGAACGTGGGGGCTGCTGTGAGAGCTGAGGCTGGGAGGAAAGCAGAGGCCGTTGCAAAGGCCTTGAATGCCAAGCTCTGAGGGCTTAGGGTTCATCAGGAGGCCGCAAGCGGTGTGCCGGCCCCTAGCCCTGGGCACTTGTGACCCATCGTGTGATTCACAGTAGGCTGGTGGCTTCTTCCCATGGGCCTGGCAGAGCCGCCTGACCAGCCTCCTTCCTCCTTCGCCCTCCCAGGTACCAGGGCAAAGAGGGCTGGGCGCCAGCCTCGTACCTGAAGAAGAGCAGCGGGGAGCCCTTACCCCCGAAGCTGGGCCCCGGCTCTCCCGCCCACGCGGGCGTCCTCGACCTGGATGGCGTTTCCAGGCAGCAGAACTCGGTGGGCAGGGAGAAGGAGCTGCTCAACAACCAGAGGGACAGCCGGTTCGAGGGCCGCCCGCCGCCCGACGGCGATGTCAAGCAGAGTGAGTGACACCCACCCGAGCTCCTGGAGGCCGAGGGCCTACTGTGCACCAGGCCCTGTGCTCGGTGCACCTCACATGCTGTCCCTCATCCTCACAACAGCCCTGCTGCCCCCCCATAAAACAGAGGCTCAGAAACCGCAGGTCCCTTGTTCCAGATCATTCAGCGAACACGTCATGGGACCTGAGTGAGGAGACTTGCTTTTCTACTCCAGACCACGTTTTTCCACCCCCTCGTGATGATCACAATAACTGTTTCGCAAGCCCCTACTGTGTACTGGGAATCTTATAATTTGTCTCATTGACTTCACTAATAACCTTTGAGGGATTTACTACTTTTGCTTTACAGAGTAGGAAGCAGAGAGATGAGATGGCTTGTCCAAGGCCACACAGCTGGTAAACAGGGGGCCAGGACTTGAACCCAGGCCTGTCTGACTCCAGCGCCAGTGTGCGCTCTCTGCATGACCTCGTTTCTGAGCCAGAGGAAGAAAACGTTGATCCTCTGTTGGGTCTTTTCCAGCGACAGTTCTTTACCCATCTTGCTTTTCAAGATGGGTAAACATGTATATTTTACCATCTAATGTTCCCAACACACCTGAGAGTAGGGCTCATTATTGTCTGCTGCGTACCCAGGACTCCAGCCCCAAGCACGTGGCCCTGGTTGTTGGGGCAGATGGAATCTATCTGTTTTTTGGGAAGGAACTTCCAATTAGCCGCAGGGATGAAGTCACTTGCCCCGGGCTGGGCTTCTCTGGCTATTTATAGTCAGTGAACTTGAGTGTCTCATTCTCTGCTTTTTCTCTGATGAAAACCCCACGGCAGGGGTTCTATCCTATCCCTGGTTCCTGTGATTCTGATCTATCACAGTCAAGAGCACACGAGGCTCCCCATGAACCTAGAGGAGTGAATAAAAATCTGAAACCCCGCGTCTTTGTTAGGATAGGTTTAGATACTCAAGCAAAGATGCCCCTCCACTCCACCCCTCACCACATGCATACGCCCAATAACAGTGGCTCAGATAATTTAGATGTTTACTTCTTTTTCTCATAAAGCAGTTCAGATCTATGTCCAGGGTTGCTATGACAACTGCATCCATCAAGAGTCTTGTTCTGCATCTATCGAGTGCTGCCCTCATCCACCTCATCTGGATGGCTCACCACTAGTCCAGCCAATGAAAAAGAGGCAGAAAAAAGTTGAGGACTCAGCTCAGGCGCTCCCCACTCTCTTCCTACTCCCTCATCTCCCGTTGTCCAGAACTTAGTCATATGGCAATACCTAGCTACAAGGCAGTCTGAGGAACATGGTCTTTATATAGGCAGCTGTGTCTGGCTAAAACTCTGTTGCTATTTATTCTAATAGAAGACAGGGGACATGGTTATTTAAGAGATTAGCAGTCTTCTCTACACTCTTAACTGCCAAACTACCCCTCTGTATAGACCCTTGCTAAACCAGCTCTGGCAACACATGAGGTGCCTCCTCAATATTCTGCTTTT